CCGGCGCAACCGACGGTTGCGGGAGCCGCGGGCAATTTTTCTTCCTAGCCCGGATGTACGCTTTCGGGCTTCCCACATTAAACAGACCTTGTGTCACAACCTGACATCGTTGTGTGTGTGTGTGTGTGTGTGTGTGTGTGTGTGTGTAAATACAAATTAGTAGATTTGGGGCTTTTTAATCTCAGAATTCGTGGGAACTGACCTTCAATTTCGCATTTATTCATATAGATTCCATAATATAGGATTTACTTAATTAGCTATGATATTTCTCCAACTATTCAAATGTTGAATGTTTAACTAGTCCTAATTTCTATTTTCCCATCTTTACACTATATTAATTTTATTGTATAAATTGTCCCTTTTTCTGTCACCCATGAAATAAAAATAATTGTTTGTACGAAAAATAAGGACCTACGTACATCAATTCATCTTTAAATTAAATGGCAGCAGAAGAATTATCGTTGAACTTTTAAAAGGTAAGCTTAAACATTAATTCAATACTTGAATGCAGCTATCAATTTTGAGTTCTTTTGTAGTTTATTGATGCTTATCACATCTACTCCTCCTCAGCTATTGTGATGATGGCCAAATTAACAGTCCTCCACGGGAGCTCTCTTAAATGCTGCCCAATTGGGCGGCTTTTAAGCTAGTTTATAATAAAACATGCACTGCAATTTTGGATACAAAAGGAAAATAAGAGTTACTCCGCTTGTACCATGAAAGCAATGATGATGGCTAGTATAATATATTAATATATATTTTTAACTTCGCATAATGTAGCAACCTTTAATCAGAGCTCAACGAAAATTGTTCCCTGCACCTATTTTTTTCTATGGAGTTTTGAATGTGCTATGAATAATTAAAATCAGACTAGTGGAAGCGGAGGAGTTGCTTCTACACACATACACACATATATATATATATATATATATATATATATATATATATAATTACACACACATACATATATACAAGGTGTCCATAAAGTTCGTGTGCACTTTTAAGTTACAAATTTTTAAAGTGCATACGAACTTTATGGACACCCTGTATAATTACACACACACACACACACACACACACACATATATATATATATTAGTCCCTTCCAAAATTATTGGAACGGCAGTTGATTCTTATTTTAATGTTCTAGTTAAAATAACAAAACTGATTATAGTTAAAAACACTATTAGTACATTTGTTTCAAGTGACACACCGTTTATTGGAGGTCATAGTCACATATTATTGATGTAATGTGATATTTCATTATTCCCTTTACAATACTTCTTGTGTATGAAGGAAATATATATCAACTATTGAATTTCTCGCTTTCCGTATTACTACAATATTCAAAATTTTAAATGCAACGTCAATCGCCGACTTGTAGCTTCTTGAAGTTTCTTCTTTTTTTTTGTCCTTTTCGCAAAATCCTCTCACATTTTCAGTCTTTCTAATCTCTTTAAGTTTAATTCTCTGTACCCCACCCGGTAGTTTAGTGACACTGTCGCCTTGCTTTGCAGAAACGATTTAAAAAAAAAAGAAGAGACAGAATACTGGACCGAGAAGTGAACCTGCAGGGACGTCTGCGTTAATCGTTTGGACTTCGGAGAACTGAGAACTAAAAACTACCTTCATAGACCTGCCCGTTAGGAAAGAACTTATAAGCGAGAAAACTCTACCAGTGATTGCATAGCTAGAGATTTTGTGCAGTTACGCTTTATGCCACACCCTGCCAAAGGACTTTATAATAAAATGTGTCTGAATGCAATGAGTTGACAAATAATTGTTATCCGTTACAATAACAGGGAGAGGTTACAGTGTCATAAGTGATAGTTTTAGATTTCTACCGGCAGACAGTTTTCAGCATTGTGTATCTAATGCCAACTCAAGACAGTCTGCAGAGGTTTTGATTATCACCGTTCCAGTTTACCAAGCAACCAATCGCAATCGAATTGTCTTTCGTTGTTATCGAATAAAACTAGTGTGTTAGATCAAACATTACTTGCATTAGTTACATTATTCGGATTGTTATCTTCATTGCCATATTCATAACGTTTCGGCCGCTGTACGCTCCGGCCTTCTTCAGGATATGTCTATGTCACTGAGATGAGGTATTATGATTACTTGTATTATTTAAATTATTCGGATTGTTATCATCATCTTCACTGCCATATTCACAACGTTTCGATCGTTGTACGCTCCGGCCTTCTTCAGGATCTGTCTATATCACTGAGATGAAGTATCATGATTACTTTTATTATTTACATTATTTGGATTGTTATCCTCATCTTCATTGCCATATTCACAACGTTTCGGTCGTTGTACACTCCGGCCTCCGTCAGGATCTGTCTATATCACTGAGATGAGGTATTATTACGTGTATTATTTACATTATTCGTGTTATTATCCTCATCTTCATTGCCATATTCAAAACGTTTCGGCCGTTGTACGCTGCAGCCTTCTTCAGGTGACAGGTTATAACCAAGACATCAGTATGAGACATGGCGCGTGGAACTACAACAATCTACCCCAGCGGATGAAATAAAGGGTTAGGTTCGAAATTCCAACCATCTGAAGAAGACCGGAGCGTACCAGGGCCGAAACGTTGTGAATATTGCAATGAAGATGAGGAAAAACAGTCCGAATAATGTAAATAATGCAAGTAATCATAATACATCATCTCAGAAATACAGAGGCCGAAACGTTGTGAATATGGTAATGAAGATGAGGATAACAGTCCGAATAATGTAAATAATCCAAGTAATCATAATATCTCATATGAGAGATATAAACAGATAAACCGCACATATATTAACGTAGGTCCCATGATGTTACTCTGTTTTCGTTGCTTTATATGTCATCATTACATTTATTGAGATATTTATTAATTCACAGAAAACTTCCCTGACTTTTGCCAATAGTCAAAATGAAATTCCTGTTATAAAGGATATTTTGTAACATTTCAGGACATCACCATCTGGTCAATATATTTATGACTTTAACAGGAAGAGTTTAAAACATTGTTTGCTTAAAGATATATGGTTACTTAAGGTGTGAAACTCACAATCCCCATGCCGTGTTGGTGTCGGCGTTTCTATGTTTATAGTTAAACACGCTATGTTCCCGATATTAAGACCCTTTCTCCCATAAATATAGCCTGTTTTAAACATTTAAACATGACTGCACAAACACCAGACTGTTTCAGATTTCTTGGACCAATCATTTTCTTGTTGACACCGATACCCGGAAACGTTTTCTGAGACACCATTTACACAAACATCCGGTTTCACGAATTTTGCTTAATTCAATCATACAAACGCTTTCAGAACGTTATCTACAGATATCTACATAAAATCAAGCCTGATGACCACACACGAGTTGATTTTAGCATCCATTTTGGTCAAGGTGAGAACTTTCCAGCACCTACATTGTTCAAGACAACTAGAAAAATTATGAACTGTTTTTTCTTAAGTCTGATGTTTCTACATTATTTAAGGAAAATACGTGAATTGTATTTTTTCGAATATCACATTCATTATTTACCAAATTCTTCAAGTTGGCACCCAGTAATGAAAGCCATATTTTTCAGATTTTAGAAAAGACCAAATAAAAATGAGACGAGAATATAGAATTTGGTTCCGATCTACGCAGCAATTTCACTTTTTTTCTCATTTTCCTTGATTGGAATTGATTAGTCTTACAAATTTAGTTTGTTTCAATGCTTCAAGAAGCTCGATTCAACAAATGAAAACACACACACACACATAGAGTAAGAATTCACTTTTTACAGCATTTACTTTTAAAAAGTCCTCAATACAAAGTAGAGCAATATATTATTATTATACTTTTATTATAAGAGATTATAATAAAAACATATTGAAATCGCTATACAAAAGTTTTCATGTTTCAATACAATGACTGTACTTCTTCAGGCGATGGTAAGTAACTGGTGATTAATGATTTTAAGAAAATTAAAAAAAAAACAAACTGCGACTTCTTTTCTGAAAGTTAAAAGGGGAGGACATAAGGTCATAATTATAAATTCATTTGTAGGTATGTCTTGATTCATTTAAATATCAATTAAATCTACGCTAAATAAAAATATATATATATATATATATATATATATATATATATATATATATATATATATATATATATATATAAAGGAATTAATGGATGTTATTTTTAATCTGACATATTTCTATTACTTCAAATGTTATTTTTAGTGGATACTCGTATTTGAGTAGAACCCCGTTTTTTAACTGTTTATTTTTTTTTTATCGGCCTGCGCATTGGACAAAAAATAATAAAAAGACGTTTTCTTGAGTGCACAGGCCGGTATACGAAATAAACGTTAAAAAAAGCAAAAACGGAACGTCTACTCAAATACGGGTATCCACCAAAAATATCGTTTGAAGTACTATATAAATATACATATCTGTGTGTAATATATATAATAAGATTTATATGAGAAACTCATAAGCGGGTGGATTGAAATGTAACTAAGTCATAATGAACTCATTACTGACATTAGTTTGGCATAAGATCTGCAGGGCTGTATCAGGCCTCCTCTATGGCAGGTAATGTAGGACAGTATTGGGCCTCCTCTATGGCAGGTAATGCCGGACAGTATTGGGCCTCCTCTATGGCAGGTAATGTCGGACAGTATTGGGCCTCCTCTATGGCAGGTAATGTCGGACAGTATTGGGCCTCCTCTATGGCAGGTAATGTCGGACAGTATTGGGCCTCCTCTATGGCAGGTAATGCCGGACAGGATCGGGCCTCCACTATGGCAGGTAATGCCAGACATTATTAGTCTTCTATGGCAGGTAATGTCAAATAGCATCGGGTCTCCTCTATAGCAGGTAATACCAGACAGTATTGGGCCTCATCTATGATAGGTAATGTTAGACAGTATTGGGCCTCCTCTGTGGCAGGTAATGCCAGACAGTATCGGACCTCGTCTATGGCAGGTAATACTGGACACTATCAGACATGGTCTATGGGAGGTAATGCGGGACAGTATTGGGCCACTTATGGAAGGTAATGCCAGAGAGTATTTGGCTTCCTCCATGGCAGGCAATTTCGGACAGTATTGTGCCTCCTCTATGGCAGGCAATGCCAGACAGTATCGGGTCTCTTCTATGGTCGGTAATGCCGGACAGTATTGGGCCACTTCTATGGAAGGTAATGCCAGAGAGTATTTGGCCTCCTCTATGGCAGTTCATTTCGGATAGTATTGGGCCACTTCTATGGCCGGTAATGCCAGACAGTATCCGGCCACTTCTATGGCAGGTAATGCTGGAGAGTATCGGGCCTCGTCTATGGCAGGTAATGTTAGACAGTATTTGGCCTCCTCTATGGTAGGTAATGCCAGACAGTATTGGGCCTCCTCTATGGTAGGTAATGCCGGACAGTATCAGGGCTCCTCTTTGACAGGTAATGCCAGACAGTATCGGGCCTCTTCTATGACAGGTAATGCCAGATAACATTGGCCCTCCTCTATGGCAGGTTATGCCAGATATTATCGGTCATCCTCTATGGCAGGTAATGTTGGACAGTATCAGACATGGTCTATGGCAGGATATCCACCCAAAATAACGTGTGAAGTACTATATATATATATATATATATATATCTGTGTGTGTAATATATATATATATATATATATATATATATATATATATATATATATATATATATATAATAAGATTTACATCAGAAACTCATAAGCCGCTGGCCAGAAACATAACGAACTTCATTACTGACATTAGTTTGGCATAAGTAACTAGAGAAGAAAAAAAAAACTTAAAATTAAATGAAAAAAATAATTAAACAAAACAAAACAAATTAAACAAAAAAATACGATGCTAGTTAGTATTTGTAAAAAAAGAATAGAAATTGTATTCAATTTGTGTATTAATTCTCGTGTGAAAAAAACTAAGCAGCCACAGAACTGATCCAAATATTACGTTGGTTATTAAAAAAGTTATATTATTTCCCATTTAGTTTTTTTGTATTTGCATTTAATGCTGTCCATATATTCTTCCTTCATATTTTTATTGTAATTTTGCTGTTTGGTTTGGCTTTCTTCGACTGTCGCAGTTTCATTAAGTTTACACATCACTGAAGGTGGTTCTATCGCGCAGTCGGAAATTGGCCATAATTTGCAGTGTGAAACTGCATATGCCTGCATCTCTCATTAAGCGTTATCTAGATGATTTGATTCTTCGTTTCTTCTTCTGGGCTTTTCGATCTCCCCTATACACACACACACCAGATGTTGGTTACTAGCTGATCATTCAAGGTGCACAATTGGATCCATTTATTCTTTGTGTTCATTGCAGGTTCCTATTCCGAATTTGCCAACCATTTCAGCGTCTCTAATCTTGCCGACTTTGGGTGTGACGGTTTCGTCACTGACCATCCGACAACAACAACAACAACACACACACACACACACACACACACACACACACACACACACACACACACACACACACAATCCCTAGCAAACAGCCGAACGCAATAACTTTGGTTTAAAATTCTTCTGCAATTTTTCCTTTCCTCTAAACTGAGTTCTAAGACATATAAACATTTCGCTAGATACAAGGAAAAGAATATTAAACTGTTACTTGATATCTCTTCTCCTGTATGGCTGGGAATGCTGAACAATCTCCCCAAAGAAACGTGAATAAACAGAAATGTGGTTCTGCAGAAGGATGCTGAGGATACCATGAGCCGAACATGTGAACAACGACGAAATTTTAGAGAAAATGGAAACAAAAAGGAAACTTACTTTTAACATCAGGAAGAGACAGTTGAGATTTCTACGGTAGGATGCTGAGGATACCATGGACCGAATATGTGAGCAACGACGAAGTTTTAGAGAAAATGGAAACAAAAAGGAAACTTATGCTTAACATCAGGAAGAGACAGTTGAGATTTATGGAACACATAATGAGGAAGGAATATGGCACCTTGCATTTATTGGAAATATTCATAGAAATATGAGTTAATTTTTTCTTATTCAGTTTATTAAACAGGTTGTTAATTTTTTTTTTAAAAACGGAAAATAACTGAGTTGAAAATAATTCACTAAGAATGTACTAGACGATCCTAAGGAAAGAAGAAGGAAAGAAAAAAAAAAGGAAGGAAGGAAGAAAAAGAAAGAAAGAGAAATGTATGACGCATGACCCAGTTGATGGTAGAGATAGGTCTGCGTGTGGTCGACTTTTTTTTTTAAAAACAAAGGAAGAATAGAATTGGAAATAATAAAAGAGAAAGAAAGGAAAAAGACATGATATCGACCAGATGTCGGTCAGAGGCCTCTGACCGACTCTTGCGTCAGAAAACCCTTATCAATTTGGAGTGAAGAGAAATTTTTTTTTTTTTTTTTTGAACAATAGAAACGAAATTTGTGATCTGAGAGAAAGTGTCTTTGGGTTGAAGGGAGTGACCAGTGAAACGATATACGGAATTGACCTGTTAAGAATTGGACACCCACGTTAAGAAAGTAGAGATATTTCGACCTAGATAATTAAGATTTTCGACTATCAGGTAAAACAAAGAAGTAAAAAAGAGAGACAATTGCTTTGGGCTCACAGAGGGCGCCAAGAAGGCGGAAAAGATCCTTTTCTAAAGTCAAGACTAATTAGCAGCGGGCTGTTTGACAAAGTCCAGGTGAAAGAAAGCTAAAGATTGTCATTTTGCGTACGTGCAAAAAGGTGCGAAATCGGATTTTGTTTTTTTTAAAACCAGCACGAGGTAACCACACCCGCCAACAAAAGGGAGAGGGTGTTCGGTCAATAACAATTGGTCGAATACAATCACGTGACCGCGGAAGAAGAAGGAAAGAAAACCTCGATCAATAACTGTTGGACGAGGCGGTCACGTGGGCTGCGGAAAAGAAGAGAAAGAAAGGTTCGATCGGGAACGATTGGTTGAGAGCGATCACCTGACATGAGAGAGAGACTAAGAGAAATAGATATGCGCCGCCCCACCAAGAGCTCTGTGAGAAAGTAGGGGTGAAAACAATAACGATAATGGAAAGTCAAAATTAATACGACTTTTGAAATTATCGAGAAACCCCTGACGCCAACCGACCCACCCCGGTTTGTTGCGGCGTCAATATAAGCAGGACCCCAGTCGGCAGAAATCAGTTGGAGATGCAGCCGGAGTTGGGCTGAGTTGCAGCAGGACCGCGGGCAGGGGAAGATCCTGAACGCGGACATAAGACCCGATTCACTCGCCCCCTTTGCGGGCAAAAGAACCCTCAGACAGAAGGACTTCCAGCCCAAGTCGAAGACAGAAGAACTTCCAGCCCAAGTAGATGAAGAAGAAGATTGCCTGAAAACCTGAGAAGAGTTGGAGCTGAAGTTGAGTTGAAGTTGGAGTTAGGTTGGGCGTGAGTTGCAGTTCACCCTCGGACGACAGAAGAATCCTCGAAACAAGAAATCCTTCCAGCCCAAGTTGAAGACAAGAAATCTTCCACCGAATTGAAGCAAGAAATCTTCCACTGAATCGAAGCAAGAAATCTTCCACTGAATCGAAGCAAGAAATCTTCCACTGGGTTGAAACAAGAAATCTACCAGTCTAAACAGAAGAAGAAGAAGAAATACAACTCAAGTCGGAGAGAAGAATCAACTGCGAATGATCGATAGAAATTAGCCCCAGTGTCGAACTGAACCACACTCCGACATACATACATGATTCTAGAAAGTAGGTAATTCGACATTTTCCTATTGTGTGATAGAAGCTTGGTGCCATAGTCCACAGAGCGGGTCGGGAATTGAGAACAATTTTGTTTTTATGTAACGGACTTTAAGATATAAAAGGTTGTTACCCTTTTTTATCAGCAATTTTGTTTGGTGTCGTGAGTTTTATTTTATTTGTGTTTTGCCACCCCGTCGGACTCAACTTGTATCGGCCCCGATCCCTGCTGGTCCCGTCTGTCTAAGATCTAAACACAGCGTGGGTAGACAGACCGGAGATCGGTATAGTTGCTTTAGTGACCAGGTATTGGAAGCGGGTCGGGAAAGGCGAGGCTGGTGATCATCTGACCAAAGGGTTGGAGCGGCACGCTTGGACCCAGGAGGAACGACCAGGAGGAGCGACGTCACCGTTGGCGCCGTAACCAAAGGATCCGACACTGGGCCAGGTGTAACCGTCACAAGTGGTGCCGTGACCAGGATCAACCCTGAGACAACCGTCACAAGTGGCGCCGCGACCAGGATCAACCCTGAGACAACCACGTCACAAGTGGTGCCGTGACCAACGGATCAACCCTGAGACAACCACGTCACATATGGTGCCGTGGTGACCGAGGGATTTCAACCCTGAGAAGACCACGATCGACCGCCGTTGCTGAAAGTTCAAGCAGAAATCAGAACGACCCGGGACCAAAGGAAAAGAAGGAACAGAATCGTCTGTAAGGTAGGACACCTTGTTTTGTTTCCCAACCTCGATTGTTGCTATATAGACTGTCTTTCTCTGTAGACATGTCAGATTATGAGTCGGATAGAGCAGTGGGGGGTGAAGAAGAAGTAGGGCGGGGGTTGTCAGTAGATTTAAGGGGGCTGTTGGGTGGACCGAGGGTCCCAGTGTTTGATGGTAGTGGGAAGGAGTTCAGGAACTGGCTGACAATCCTCGAAAAGAGCCGAACCATCTACGAGCTCTCGGACCAGGAAACCCTGTACCTGGCATACGATGCCACAAAGGGAAAAGCGTCGGAGTTCGTAAGGGGGCTCGTGGAGAACCAACCCCGCTTGGCTTGGGAAGAAATAAAAAAACTGCTGACCAAAGAATTCGCCGACGAAGGTACGGCCATAGAGGCCATGAGGGCCCTTTTAGAACTGACACAGCTACGGGATGAAACCCCGGGAGAATTGGGGGCCCGAGCGGGAAGGCTATCGTCATTAGCATTCCCCGAGGTGGTCAGGGACAACGCAGTCATGCAGGCCCAACTGGCGGACCTGTATGTGGAAGCTCTGAGTGATGAGCGTGTTCGGCACGACGTCCTGAAAGAGGGACCGCTCAGACTGTCGGCAGCGATAGAGCTGGCCAGAGAGAGCCAGGGGGTATGGGATAAGGTGAAGAGGTGTGGGAAGAAGCAGATACCAAGTCAAGAGGCTGGAAGAAGGGGGGGGGCGGAAGAACCCCGTATGGAATAAGAGGGTTAAGGAAGAGGTGGATCGGGCAGAAATATGGGAGGAGGACCCCAATAGAAGGGCATGGTCGACCAGGCATGGCTTTTATAAGCCCACGCCGGGTCGATATGGGCTGGTCTGCTGGACCTGTGGGTACGAGGACCACAGGGCGGCGGAATGTCCGACGAAGTGGGGATTGCCCCCAGACTTCAATCAGGACAGATGCACCAGGTGTGGTAAGAAAGGACACCTGGCCAAGTGGTGCGGGCTGAGGAAGGGTGCCCCACCAATATTAACAAGGAAGGCCGAGCCCAAGAAAAGCCAGCGGGCCACCCCAGAATTAA